AACACTTCTTGGGATTTATCCAAAGGATTCGAAAGCTGATGTCTGTACACAAGCACCCGCACAGGATGTTTATGGTAGCTTTATTCATAATTGCCCAAACTTGAAAGCAACCAACGTACCCTTCAGTAGGTGAATGGGTAAATAACAATGAAATAGTAATATTATTCAGTGCTGGAAAGAAATGAGCTATCAAGCCATGAAAAGACAAGAAGGAACCTTAAATGCATGTTTTTAAGTGAAAGAAGCTGAAAGGGCTACATACTGTATGATTCCGACTGCAGAACATTTTGGAAAAGGCGGGAAGAGGCACAGTGCAGAGAAATTTTAAGGCAGTGACACTACTCTGTATAACGACAGTGAATACATGTCATTATACATTTGTCCAAAGCCATAGAATGTACAGTCCCAGCCTTACGATGGTTCAACTTATTTTTCAATTTTACAATGGTATGAAAGTGATACACATTCAGTAGAAACCATACTTCAAGTACCACACAACCATTCTGTTTTGCACTTTCAATACAGTATTCAATTAATTACATGAGATAGTCAACACTTCATTATAAAATACGCTTTGTGTTAGATGATTTTGCGCAACTATAGGCTAATGTAAGTGTTCTGAGCACATTTAAGGTAGGCTAGGCTAAGTTATATTTGGTAGGCTAGGTGTATTAAATGCGTTTTCTACTTGCAATGAGTTTCTCAAGACATAACCCCATCCTAAGTCGAAGAGCATCTGTACAAGAGCAAACTCTAAGGTAACTATGGACTTTGGGTGATGATGTCTCACCATAGATTCAACCACTGGAACAAACGTGCTACTCTGATGCAGGAAGTGGCTAGTGGGAAAGGCTATGCATGCATGGGGAAGGGGGTAGACAGCTGTTCTTACCACTCAGTTTAGCTGTGAACCTGAAAGTGCTCTAAAAAATAAAGTCTACTCTTAAAAAGGTAGTTTTACTTTGCTTTCAATTCAAAAAAATTCACGAAGACCACACAATCCTCAAACAACGGTTGTTACAAAAACCAAATACCAAGTGGCTGGGAAGCATTGTCCTAAATGCCTTTAAAGGCATATTCTCACAAATGTTAATCTTTCATGTACACTTGGCTTTAGGTTAAAAGAACACAGCCAGTTTTACATAACCATACAGGCATGTGAATCGTATACAAATGTGTTCTTGCACATAATTATAAAGCTATTAGTTTATTCTGTGCAAACATATATGCTAAGCTTAAATTTATCTTCTTCAAAAGACACCTCCATTCCTGCTGTTTTTAGATGGCCCAAATTTTAAATTTCCACCTTTCCTAAATCCCTCTTCAGTTCCCATTCCCATCCTATTTTCATGTAAATCCAAGTTTTCTTTCACAACTTCTCTAGCATTTCTAGAAGATAACTTCTCCCAACAACTCGAAGACAACCGCCAGCGATGTATGTACTTGATAACGAGTTTATGAGAATATTTTGGTCCTCTGTGCTTTTACTCCCTTCCTAGGAACATATCTACATTTCTCTTTCCTTTCCTTAAGTTTTTTTAAATGTCTCAGCCCATCCTCCTCTTTAAACTACTGGGTTATAAATTGACACTGTTCATAAATCATGACTATAGAAATTTCTAGAGCAGATTTTTTTGACTTTTTAAGGACATAAAACCTTCCTTTTTGGATAATCCTAAAAATCTCATCGTTGAGTGTTTTGAAAATAGATGGTTTTCTCTTTTCCAAATACAAAAATGTAATGCTAAATATGCTTTTCCAAACCACACATGGCCCCAGATTATGATACTGTCCCCCTAGAGACTGACACCACTGTCCTATGATGAGTAATTGCTCCGCAGTGATATGGCTGATGCTAAGTGCTCATACATCAGGAGGGGTTCCCCTCCCTCAACCCTTGCTCCACACCCTCCAAGAGCTAAGTTCCTCCATTCTTATGTTTTTGGTGTTTGTCTTTTGATGACAGAACAGCGGTACGAATACCCTTTGCGCAAAGGTGAGTTGCTTAATTTTTTTTATTAAATGATACATTGAAAGTATAAAATTTGCCTCAGCACAAACAAGTTACGGGATAATACATACGAAAGCACTATGGACTACATGTGACAATTCTGTTTAGCTTCCATTTTGATTTTATATTAGTATCCAAAATTATAAACTCCAGCATTTTTTCTTAATCTAGTCCTACATGATTAAAATTCCTGAGGTAAACTTAGTGTCCACTGCCGACATCCTTGGATATAAACCAAGTCCCCTGGGAGAATTCACATATTTATATTCCCACATACAATATAATGGAATCCATAATTGTAATCAGATATTTAAGATTTAAAAATGGAAAATGGTCCCTCATAATACTTCTGCATCTCTCTACATAATTTTAACCCACCACCAGGGCATCTCAAAATCTTTTGACTTGTTAAGTATGGTTTAAAGGGATTTCGTTAATAATTTTCCACATTTAGATAAAAATTATTGGTTAACCTGTAAGGAGTGAACACTGATTAGCATCACCAAATATAAAACCAAAAGTTTCAACAATTTGCAAAGACAGCACAGAGAATTAACACCATGAAGAGAATGCCAGTTTTGCTAACTACAGCCCTTACCACTCTTCCCTATGGAAATCACTTAAGCTAAACATTCTCGGTGTACAGGTGCCCATGCCAAGTTTTATTCTGACTATATCATGTGACTTTTGCCAATCAGGAGTTGCCTACTATAACAGTAAGTTGTTTTCAATGAAAAGAGTTTGTAGACTCTACATCATAAAAATCTCTTTAATAAATATCAAAGTAGCATTTCAGAGATAGCACTGTAATAGCTCTCACTATTTTCCTATCCCAGGGATAAAAATTAACGTTTAGTAAGACTTCCAGAGCCCAGACAATAGAGGGCTGGCCCTTTCATGGCTCATCTGTAACTGCACAACTGAAGGCCACACAGAGGTTAAACAATGCCATCTTTCACAAGTCACTCTCTGGTATTTCTCCCAAAGCCTGTCTCTTCATGCTTATTTCACATTCTTTGCATAATAAAATAAACTCTTTGTTTCACTTACAGCAGAATTAAAAAAAATACTCCCCCCCCTCACCTTTTAATTAAATCTTCCAGTAGAAGCCAAGATGGTCTAAGGAAAGAAAAAGTAGATTGTTACCTAGCTTAAAAGTTCAACTTTAGATAGTACTTCAGATATTTAAACCTAATTATAAATGGTTATCTGAAAAAAGGTGCTTTAGAAAAAAACAAACTTTACGGAATTACAGGTTTTTTCTGGTTTTAATGTTCTTTTAATGTTTTTTTAAAACTTGAATGTTCTTACAAATCCGCATAATTCCAGCTAAAGAAAATTTAATTAATGTGCCATGTCAAAGAGCAGAGCATATGATTATAGAGACCTATATATTTTTTTAGAAGAATGTACAGGGTACTAAAAAGCCCTTTCACGTCTCACAAATGTAAGGACCTTTAAAATACTTCCTAAAAACAATTCATTTTCTTTCGAGTCAAATCCAATAAGCTTGATGACAGTTAGCTTTTATTCACAAATGCAATCAAACACAAGGGGCTAAGTGTTTTGCAGAAACTCTACAAAGTACAAATATTAGTGGCGTATTTTGGTAACATTGGGACAATAAGTTATTTAGTACACACAGTTTTAACATAAGATATCCCAAATGGAAGTGTCATTTCTTTACTGCTTGAGAAATACGCACATCTTCACTATTAGTATTTTTCCCCTCCTCCTTTCTTAGGTGATCATCTGAAACAAACACAAACAAATGTTAATAGTTATCCCAAGTCAAAATAGGCAGATAGGCAGACATATCTACATATACTATATTTTAGGATGTTACATTTTTAGTATTCTTTGAGTTCTTTAGATGGTTTAGGACAATGAAAAAGCTCATTATTTTTAAACACTTTTGAAGAAATCAGAAATGTTTAGGTCTATGGACTCACTCTTAACTACTCAAAAGTATTTCTTGACTTTAAGTGAATAGAGTCCAACCTGCAGTAAACCTACGTGTAAGTAGTGACAAATTCATCTCTTACATGCAAGGAATGGAATTTGTAAGAAAGGACAAGGTGTTCAATCAGCATTTTGAGAGTTGCCAAAGTTCTTCCATTAAAACACAACTAAAAAATTTTCAAATAGAAATACTTCCCAGCAGCACCCTCTTGTGGCAAGGAGAAAACTGGCATAGTTTACATCTTACTACCAAAATCACAGTTATCCAAGAGATTGTAGAAAATGTTCTCAGAGGCCAACAACAAAACAATGAAGCTCCTTGAGAGTTCAGAGGAGCCCAGAGCCCTGTGACCACACACTTTGCTCTGGCAATGGCAAAGGCGGGGCCCTAGACATCTCTGCTCAATTTCTTTTGTCATGGGGTAAAGAGTAGAGGATAGAAATATTCTACATTAAAAGAACCTAAAAGACTTAATATCCAAATGCAACAAATATGCAATGCAAAAACTATACTCCTGAAAACATATTAACCTCCCAAACACTTCTTACAACTGACAAAACAAAATCTTTCTAGTGACAATTTTGATAACAGGAGAAAAAGGATACAAATTTAGACAAGCTGCTAGAAAAATGCAAATTTTAGCACCAAAACACCTACTGGATTTTCTGATTCTAAAGACAATTTGATTATACACACAGTTTTATTAGTCCGCAGCAGCTGATTACCCTCAATGCAAACACCACTTTGCAGGTCTGGATAACAGATGGAAATCTCTCTTCCTCAATCCTAGGCGACTTTGCAGGACAGAAAAAAATTAACAATTTCCTTAGAACACAGTGATTTTAGGTCTTCTAGGAAAGTATTTTAACAATGACGTTTGTTATGCTTGATAGATGTGCAATAAAGTTGAGCTGATGATTGTCTCTATTATGAAAATCTGGTCTTTTATTTACAATAAAAATCTTTTATTTATAGTGAAAACGAGTTTGCCTCCGAGATTACAATCACTTACAGGAGCAGCACCGATGGATTCGCTATCATTTCAAAGGTGGGCATGCCTCTTTAAACCCTCTTCATTTTTCTGCAGCACTTTGAAAGCTTTGATGAGAGAAGTACTTTCCTCCTGGAATACTTTGAACTTATTTTCAAATAAAAGCTAACTTAGTTTTAGTGTTTAATATCTCAGTTAGATGAGCTCATGTAGAGATAAGAGACTGCGATCTGAAGAATAATTAGTTTAATATCTTCATAACCTCTTCAATGCTGTCAAATAAGAGTTATGTAGCCTTCAGACAGTAAGCTGGAGTGGAGAAAGTAAACGGGAGGCTTAAGTGTGCTACTGGAACATGCTGCAATTTTGGCTGACAATTCCCAAGAGGTCACTGTTGTGCCAGGAAAATTTCTGATGATCAAAAAAGTAATTTGCAAAATAACTGTTCTTCTCCCATTAGTTCAGCAGTCATCCTCGTTTCTCAGCTTTCTAGAGAGCTCTCCACAGAATGGGCACTCAAAGCTGCTTTACTGACTTGAACTCGACTCTCGGATGTCTCTTGCACTTTATACATAATGGTATCTATCTGTCTGTCTCTCTTTCTCCCTCCTTTGTTCAGGGCTAGCGATCTCATCTGTGACTTTCCCCTCAAAAGAACAGAATTTGGTTAAGAAATGCTGTTACTTGTAACTCTCTTACTAGCCATTGGCCATGAATATTAAGAAGATTGATTATAAAAAGCTTACAAATAAGAAAAGTTATTTCTCAAGAAGTTATTTATCCTCATGGGACTGATAATATCAATGTCTTGGAGTTGCTGTGTTAACAAGTATTAATGTGTACAATATCCATTGGTGACAACTGAACACAGAAACAGGTATTGTCATATATTCTTCACAAGTGTATAAACTGGTAAAGTCTTTTTGGAGGGGAATTAGACAATCTCTACTATATTTTTAAATATGTATGTACTTCGAACAAGCATCCACACAAAAGAAATATTTATATGTGTGGACAAAGGCACAATGTTACATCGCAATAATAAAAAAGCAAAAAATTAAAAACAGTGCGTAAGAGTGATTGTAGTAATACTGTGGAATACTACACAAAGTTAAGAATGAGATCTACACATGAAAAAAGCCAGCTGCAGGATAATACGCACAGTGACAGTGCACATACATTTAAATGCACAGAAATGAGTCCTGAAGGACATCCCCCAAACTGCTAACAGGGGTACCTTCTATGGAAAGGAGGGGAATCGGGGAGTTAGAGGCAAGAAGGAAAGAGGTTAAAGGGAACTTTATGTTATATGAAAATTTTAGAGATTTACTCATGTACTTGCACAATTAATGTTTTATTTTGCTTTTTAAGTACTCGCCAAATAGTAGGCACTAACGTCAGTTCCTGACCAATCCCTGAAAAGAGAATTTGGAAAACTTCTCCATAGTCTTTAAATGGAAAAGTCCACAGGAATAGCAATCACATGTGCTGACTCTGCTAATAATTATCTGTTACAGGCCTTAGATGAGCCACTTAACCTCTTAGTCTTGGAAACCTCTTACAGTTTTCTCTACCGTAAAAATAAGTAGGTGGGAATGATTTCTTTTCCAATGTTCCACTCAGCTCAGATTTCTAAGATATATAGAAGGATAACTCCTAGCGAAGTCAGAAATAACCTCCAAAAGAAGTTAACCTGGCTCACAAATATTTCACTTTCAGACCTTAAGAGACAGCAAATATCTAACATGGTCAATATTGTTCACAGCAGTTTAGGAAAAATACGAAAGGCAATTCGCATTTTAGGCATTTCCTGAAAGCTTATGTCAACATTCAAAATTTACATTTGTTCTCCAGCTGCCTGAGCCCCACCTGTAACTGTCCTTGAAAACAGATCCACTCTCTTCCACGGGTGGAAACATTGAGCCATTCAATTCAAATGATCAAAATGGGATCCTACTGCTGAGATAATCGAAACAACTGGAAGCTCATTTAAAAAGTGAACGTTCTGAAAGAAATAAGGGCTATTCTCCTAAGAATTTGTTACCTGTAGATAACTACCATTCTACCATAAAAAGTATCCCGAAAGTGCAAAGAACACATATACCCATGACTTCTCTCTGTATTCAGCAATCTTGCCTTTTATTCTTCAGTCATGGAGAGGAAAAGAGTGATCACTTGATAAAAAGCTATTTATTCAGTATGCTAAGGATCTAAGTTGCTCCAAAGACTATAAGTTTATGTGAAAATCAGATTTTTCAATATTTCTGTATAAAAATTATATCTAAGAATTCTACCCAGTTATTCCCTCCCACCCCCCCACATTCTCTTTCCAAAAGGCATTTTGTTTTTTGGAGTAACAGGCTAACTATATTAGATATAAAAAGAATTAAATTATGACTCCAAAGCTCAGGAAAAACTCCTCCAAAGGTAAAAATATATAAAGTAAGAAAATATACTTGCTGACAGCTAAATGATGAATCTGAGAAAACTCATACCCACTTGGTTTCTTCAACTCGGTTGTTTGCCAAGATTTGGGTTTGGAGGCTGAAGTGAAGGCCCTTTCAGAAATGCATTCTGGATGCCATCCTTAGCTCCATGCAAGAAATGAGCTAAAATTCCATATAAAAGAGGTCTACAGCAGGAAGAAAACAAAAAATCAATTAAATGTGAATAAGAAAAGCTTAAAATATTTATTCTTTAAAAGGTAAATTGTGACACCAAAATGGCCAAATAATTCACTAGACTTTAAAAACCTGCATGATTATTACCCAAATTGCAAACTGTTCATACTTTTAAATTTAAGAGTACTGTTTAACTCAAATGACAATTTTAAAATGCAGAGAAAACATGTTAACAATTTAAACGTCTACACTGAAATACAATTCCTATCAATCCAAAGGAATTCAGCTTTTAAGCTCCAAAGTCCAGTATAATATTTTCCAATACCTAGCACTGTCTGATACACAAGTATTCAATAAATGTCTATTGAATTAATAAATCCTTGCCCAGAGAAGGTCTTAGGTCCTGAGAGCCAGACTGCCTGGGTCCAAATCCCAGCTTTGCCACTTGCCAGTTGTGGGACCCTGGGTAAGATTCTTAATCTCTCCAAACTCATAAACATTTCTTCCTCTCTAAACAAAAAAGGTAGGCACAGTCTCTACCTCATAGAGTTGTTATGCACTAAGTGAGTTAATAAATGCCAAGTGTTTATTACTAAGCCTGGCACATATTAATGGTATATAAATGTTAGCCACACCAGAGATGGGTAATATTTTAAAAACAGCAGTTTACAAAATACTCCTACCTTTCTTTATTTTATCCTCACCTTGTGATGTCAGAATAATCACAGTCAATTTATAAATGAAAAAACCACAGCTCAGAGGAGATTTGCTAGAGATTCCCTCAGATAGTAAATAAACAAAGTTTACACTTGAACCTCAAGTCCCACATTCTTTTCCTTACAATATGCTGCCTGGAGATTTGTATTAGTACCCTTGCACAAAGGAAAGCTGCTCTGCTGATAATAAAGAGAGGTACAATAGAGATATCTTCCTCTGTTTCCAATTTCCTATTTGAAAATAAAATCAAAAGAATTTATTTTTTTGAGGTATCTATCTATTGTTAGCTGGTATAATGGTTTAAAGTATGATACTCCCCTCCAATGATGGAATCTAATTGCCCTCTCTTTGAGTGTGAGCTGAACTCACTTCTAAGGAACAGAATAAGGCGTTAAGTGACAGTGTGCAACTTCAGAGACTACATCATAATGACACTGTGGCTTCCTCTCCTTGCTTTCTCTCTTGGATCACTGCCTCTGGGGGAAGTCAGATCCCTAAGGACACTCAAGCAGTCCCAAAGAAAGGTACATGTGGCGAGAATTGAGGCCTCCTGCCAACACCACTGTGAGTGAGTAGTTTGGAAGCAGATCCTCAGCCTCCGTCAAGCCTTCTGAAGACGGCAAGCCTGACTGGCATCTTGACTGCAACCTCAAGGGAGACCCTATGCTAGTTTCACCTAGCTAAGCTCATCCCAAATTCCCAAATATCCCACAGATAATTTATGTTTATCATTTTAAGCCACCAGATTCTGGGGTTACACAGCAATAAACTAACTGTGTAACAAAGCAATTTTTCCATGCCACAAGCAAAGCAGGAAAGTTTCCTTAATAAAATGCTTACAGGCCGGGCGCGGTGGCTCACGCCTGTAATCCTAGCTCTCTGGGAGGCCGAGGTGGGCAGATTGTTTGAGCTCAGGAGTTCGAAACCAGCCTGAGCAAGAGCGAGACCCCGTCTCCACTAAAAATAGAAAGAAATTAATCGGACAACTAAAAATATACAGAAAAAACTAGCCGGGCATGGTGGCGCATGCCTGTAGTCCCAGCTACTTGGGAGGCTGAGGCAGTAGGATCGCTTGAGCCCAGGAGTTTGAGGTTGCTGTGAGCTGAGACCACGCCACGGCACTCTAGCCCGGGCAACACAGTGAGACTCTGTCTCAAAAAAAAAAAAAGATGCTTACAAAAGCATCATCTAGGAATATAAAATAGGTCCTTTGTTTACTTGAATCCAATCTTTCCCAAAGTGTTAATTGGTTCAAAATGATTTTAAATGTTTAAAATTTTATTTTTTAAATTAATACATAGCTGGGCATGGTGGCTCATGTCTCTACAAAAAAAAATTTTTTTAATTTGCCAGGCATGGTGGTAAGAGCCTCTAGTTCCAGCTGCTTAGGAAGCTAAGACAGGAAGATCACTTGAGCCCAGGAGTTTGAGGTTATGGTGAGCTACGCTCCTGCCACTGCACTACAGCCCCTGTGACAGAGTGAGACTCTGTTTCAAAAAAAGAAAAAATTAACATATGATAAAATTTACTTAAGACTTTAAAATTTTAAGAGATATTTTTAAATATTATTAGAAAAATATATAACTATTACATTTAACCTGCAATTTCATGGCTATTACAATTTTTTAAAATAAGTCTAAAAAAGATAATTTAAAGTACAGTCTCACAATACATTAAGTGTATTTCTAGAACACAAAACCTCTGAAACTGAAATTTTCTTAATAAATTTAGCACAAACTCATTGGTGGCATGACTATTACAGACTTTACCTTGTCTGATAATTCTTAAGTTTCACTGAAAAATATTAATGGGATTGTGGGATGCCATTTTAGACTCCCCTATATATAGTATTTGGTATATGTACCATATTACTTTTTAAAACCTGAAAATATTTGGATTTTCCAAACACACTGGCCTCAGGGTTTTAGATACAGCACTGCGGATCTATAAGTAAATAATATGAGTAGTACATGTAGACAGCAGACTTTGTGAGTACAAAAATCATTGAAGTTGAGAAACAAGGACTTAAAGAAGTTACCTAACTTTTTTTAAATAAAGCTGTTTATTAACCTACTTCTTACAGTATCATCTGCAGCAAATATCTCATAAGCTACCAAGAAGCTGACAAGAGTGTAATAGTTGTTCATTTCCAACAACCGCTAAATGAAAATCTCGTGGTGTTTACACGGTGCAATACCTCACTGCTCATTCCAAGTCTAGACTCCTCCAATTTATTTTTCCCAGTGTTCTCAATTGTACCATTTTTATACTTTTCAAAAAATTGTCAAAATCTAAGCTCCTTAAAGTGTTACCCACTTTTTGCTTAACAAACATACAAATACAGTGATTAACTGTATCCATGAACACTAGCTCTGCAGGATGTAAACAATTGTGCCAAAAAGAGATAATTTAGTCAAATAAGTTTGGAGACCCTGAGTTAGAGGACAATGGCTTTCTTTATTGTAGGATTTCTCAGAACAACTTCAATACTAACGTGTATTACGAATCTCCAAGAGGGGATGTGGTATCCTGGCCTTCCTACCTGAGACCCCTTTTGTGGTGAACGCTTCACAAAACAAACTATCTGTGGATCATACTCTGGGAACAATTGATTTCCAGACAACAACGCAACAGAAAACAATGTTCATGGCTACATCTCCAGTGCCTAAAACAGTGCCTAGCATTTAGCAGGTACTCTATTTTTAAGTGAACCAACATTCACTGTAATATCTCTTGCAATCGTAAAACACTGGAAAAAACCTAAACGTCCATCAGTTAGTATGCTGGCATGAAAAACAAGTTGTACAATTACCTTATATATGTGGAAGAAAATATACATATAAATGCTTTAAATATGTAGTATATGTATGAATGAATATAAGGGAAAATGTTAACAGTGATTATCTCTGGAGAGTGAGATTAGGTTTCAGTGGGCAGAGTGGGGAACAATAACTTTTACTCTTCAATGTATACTCTTCTGTGCTATCTACATTTTTACAACGAAAAATTATTACTTTCAGTATAATTAAAACTAATTCTAGCTACCCCACTCAAATGAGATTTACTCTAGCCACTGCTCTTCCTCTAGGCGTTCATGGCATTTTACGTCAATTTTTAATCACAAGATGAGTAAACAGTCAGCCTGTTATATTCATTCATGACTCCTGCTTACAAACCCTGTCAGAAAGAGATCATAACCTACCCAGCACATAGCTGGACAGAGTTGAGATGCTCAGTAAAACACTAATATTAAAATGCTATTTCCAAACTGTTACATTACTAGTTAAATACATAGTGCTATAACAATGTTCCATTAGTACATTAGCCCAAATTACACTTATTTGGATTAAATTTTTGCTTTAAAATGTAGCATAATGGCAATTGACTTCCTTTTTAGTAAGCCCAGTATTGCTGCTAAAGCCTTCTGCAGTCATTTAATATTAACATAAAGACTTTAAAGAAAATACAAATCAATAAAACTAAGAAATGTTTTCTTTTCTCTCTTTATCAAAATCACCCTGATTTTATACAGATACCAAATAAATTTTCTTGGTAACTGAAATTCAACTCAATAAGCATTTTATTGGGTATCTGTAAAGAACACTGTGAGATATAACAGAAATAACTTTCACAAAATACCTTTTCTTAAAGTTTTCTGTCTAGTGGAAGACCTGTTAATATAAGAAATAATAAAATATATGTGTAATAAAATTACAAATCAAATCTTAAAGAAACAGAAACTTGAAGGGAAGAGGGGGGGAAGAGGAAAAGAACAATGTCATAAAGGAGTTAACATCTGAACAGGGCCAATAAAAATGAAAGATGCTCGAGTAGGAGTTAAGGGGAAGAAGGAAGTGATCTGGGGCTTCTAGGCTAAGGGGACAGTTTGCAAAGGCAAAGAGCATGAAATTGCAACCTGTCTTCAAGGCGCAATGAACAATCAGATGTGAGCAGATACAGTTAGAGACGGATAGAAATATAGAGGCCTAAAACGCTGTGCTAAGCAACTTGGACTTCATTATATAAACAATGAAAGTTATTAAATGTTTCTAAACAAAGCAATAACTGTCTTTTAGAAAGACAGTTGGCAGTATGAAACTTAAGTTGGAAAAGAAAGTGACTGGAGATAGAGGAACTAGTCAGAAGGCTCCAGAACAGGGCAGTGAGAACGGATAGGAGATGCTGCAGAGGCTGAATCAGTGGCACCTACGAAGTGACTGGTAAAGAGATGAGAACGAGACAAAAACTTAAGTGTGGACTCCGTGTTTAGACCTGAAAGGCCATATGAGCAACCCACAAGGAGGGTTTCAGCAGACAAAAATAACATATTTGATTTTTGGACACACTGAGTTTGAGATGCCAACAGAAATATGGGCCCACAGCTTAGGAGCTTGGTCAAATTTAAAGCAGAATCACCAGCATAGACAGATTATTAAAGACTCAAGAGCACTTAGAAAAGGGGATGGAGCGGGCAGGCAAGAAGAAAAGAAAGTGGAGGACAAAACTTGGGGAGTGCCCACAATTTAAAGGAACTCTAAAGCAGTCAGTGAAGAAACTGAGAGCACCACTAGGGAGACAGGAAACCTAGGACAGTAAAGGGTCATAATAAACAATGACAAAAAGTATTTTAAGGAAGAATAGTCAATATTACAAAATGCTGTAGAAACTCAAGGAAAACTGAACTTCTCAAACTGGAAATATATATATATGTATACCTATAGGCCTATTCTTGGTGCTAGGGCCCAAGAGTATTAGGGGTTTGGCACAAAGTACAGGATAAAGGTGGCATATGATCCCGGAACATCAATTTCACACAAAGATTTGTGGGAGAGTTAAATTTAACTGGCATGTAATTTAAAATATTTGTACAATAATACAAACACAATTTTACCATGAAGTAAAATGAAAAAAATTCAATGAACTTTTAGAATGAGAAAACAAATTTCTAGCTAGAGAAAGGCTACTTTGAGCCATGTTCTCTGGCCTCCTAAGTGCGACTCTTTTTTTGCCAGTCAGGGACCCTCTGGAAAAAGTTTAAGAAACACTGAAATAAGAAAAGAATTAAGAGAGTGGTCACCCTCCTTTTCAAGAGCATAGTTTCAACATAAATGGTGACAAGAGAGTGTAAGATGCAGGGAGGGCAAAGCAGAGGGTAACAGCAAAATGAAAGCAGAGGTTGATGCAGTATGTTCGGTAGTAAAAAGGATATCAAGCAGTAGCCTGGGGTTGGGAGTTGACAGGCTTTTGTAGGAGAGGAGAGATCTGAGTTGTAGGGACCTTCCCTGGGCAAAAATTGGCTTAAGCCCAGAGTCAGCGGAAACTGGGTGTGCCATCCTTGGCGCCAGAGGTCAATAGGCCCAGGCACGGCCTGTTGACCAAACAGAACTATTCCTCATGACAGACAGCTTGATGACAGATAACCAAGCGCCTGGGGTCTTGCAAACAAGCCAAAGCGTCTCATTGTCCTGCATACGGTAATGAGATAAAGAAGTTAAGATGCAAGAAGTTAAGATGCAAACGTCTGCTTCTCTTAAGCAATCTTCTGGAAGGAATGAAGATGTATTTTCCTCAGGGCGCCTAAGGTAGTCACGTGCCAGGAAGTAGCTGCCGGACAGAGAAAAGTATAAGAATAAAGCGACTGGTGGAATCCCCACTGCAGTCTTGTACGTCTTGTGTGTGTGTCTGTGTGTTTCTTTCTGTGTCCATCCCCCGTTCTGCAATCCGGGCCACGACATGAGTAGATTCTTAAGTTGAAGTGTAGGAAGCAGTGGGGAGGAAGAGTTAAATATGAAGAAAACAAATGATAGAACAAAGCCTCAGAAAGAAAAAAGAAATGGATCAAGAAGCCAAAAGGAGTTACCCTGAGAAAGAAGTAGAGATACTTAGTCACTCTCAAGCCACAGAATTTTAGCTCCAGCAAACAGAGACCTCATCTGACTCATTCACTGCTGCACATCTTGGATTTAGTAGAAGGCTTGATACACACTAGATCTGAATAAATACCCGCTGAATTAAAATAAAATAAAGCCACCACTTTGCAATTATGACTCTAATACAATAATATCTGAAAACCTATTTTTTTAAAAAAATTCCTTACATTGTATTATCCTTTGATTCTTCAAATGCATTTAGTTCACGAATGAGAAATTGTCTGTCCAATGGAACTACAGGTTGCCCAGATTCTGGGGGGAAAAATTCATGAGAACACTGAGTCTATTAATCTAAAAAGAAAATATGATTTTAATAAGAGTCACAATGATCAGGTATACACATTTTTCAGATTTTGAAAAAATGATGACAGCACATACAAGTAAATTTCTCTTTAACTACCCACCCCCTTCCCCCAACACCACTTCTTTCCCTCCCATCACCAGAGTGAGTTTGGAGTTTAAACACTGCCTAGCCCTTTTTAAATACTGTGCTTTTACATACATCTGTGTATATCCCTAAACCAACACATAGTAGTAATATTTTAGGGTTTTTATCTCCATTTTCTATTTTTAAATAAGAATATATGTTTAATTTGTATTTTGAAAGCATATACATAGAAAAAATTAGCGGTTAACAGGATAAAATGTCAACAATTATTTATTGTCAGTATCAGGAGTTATGGACGATTTTTCAAAGTATATGCCCAGTTTAAGCGCTTAGTCATTTATTTTCCCCTGCTGTATAACAGCCCTCATGAGAATTTAAGCTACAGAAAGAGCCCATGTGATTTTTATGTCCCAGTCACCCAGATGACACTGTATGGTGATAGAAATGGATCTAGGCTAAACACTTTCTGAAAACTGGAGAAAGGGGAGAAGCAGATATTCTCTTAGGTGATGAACAATAACCACTTACCTGCTATGAGGACGGATGCTGTATACTTATATTTGTTGAATTCCAAATACTCCCGAATTAATTCATTAATGAGAAGGTTTTCATGAGACAATGATGGTCGCGGTTCACGGTCATCATCTAGGGCATTGAAAACTTCAGCTCGGATCCTTGCTCTTAAATGCCCTAATACTCCCTTTTTTTCCAAGGTATCCTTTAAAACTGTTCAATATAAAGTATTAATGCTTCAGTTATAGAGTCAATTTCGTCATTCTTAGGCATACGCTAAAGAAAGATGCTTAAAAGGTAAATGGCACAACAGCAGCTCTCAATGTAAACATTGTAACAAACTGAACAATTACACAAACTACCACTAGCCACGTTTGTAATCAAAAATATAGTTCCCAAGCTGCAGTGATTTACTCTAAATATATTTAAGCAAATTCAAGTTTGTCCTTACAACATCACTGTCAGGGTCTGTAGTCTAATACATAATCTTTAGTGAGGGAAGAAAGGGAGAGATTGAATGACAGTTAGCTCACTAGGACCTGAACTTACCCTCCCAGTCTCTCACATATTTTCAAGAGTGTTTGCCACTGCAGAAGGTTGTGTGGGTCATTAACAACCTCCGGGCTAGAAAGATAATTAAGGAAAACAACTACATTCCATGAAAGGAGTGTATCTTTTTTTTTGTATAAAAACTTTTGATATCTAGAACCCTTATAGAATGGCCCATTCTGAATGAAAAGGTGTTTTGGTTTTTTGTTTTTGTAAAGACAATTATGAGTTAACTCTTTAAAACAGTAGGATTTTGAAATTTTAAGACTTGTCAGAAATGTAACACATGACTGTATCAAAGCCACCTTAAGGAGGCAGGGATGTATATGCTGAATGCAACCTAACTTCTTGACCAGCCAGGGTCACCAAGACATAGATCGGTAGTTGTGATAATGGGATTTTGCTGTAAATATTTATACTATAGATATGTATAGATAGTGTAAGTATAGATATGGATAATTAGGAGCTTGGGGCTGAATTGACACCATCTCTTGTAGTTGGTCTGGAACTTTCTTTTTTCAAATAGTTCCTCCTGGCTAAATGACAACTCCAGAGAATAAACACACCTCATCCACAGTGCCTAGAACATAGTCAGAGCTCAATTAATGTTACCAATGAACACTATCATAAAGTACTATATTGGTGAAATAAACATAGTTTAATACTGTACAGCACCCTGCCAAAGGCACCAAATAAGTATACTACCATAATGAAAATTCATAACGGGAGCTCAGAGAGCTAATTCATGTGGGTAGGGACATAAATTTTTTTTAAGCTTCGATAAATAACAACAAAAAGAATCCTGGCTCATATGATTAAAAAGATACAATCTTTACCAGACATTTTACGTTTTTTTTCCACTTATTTTTAAATCAACCCCTCAACTTTTTTGCTGGTATGTTAAGTGTAGTTATAACCTATCAGACTTTGTAATAGGCCTATAAAAAGGCTTTGTAACAGCCTCGTCACACTCTCAGGATCATAACTGAACCCCTGTTCTCTAATTTCCAAATCTAATCTTTAGAAATTAGATGGGGACATTTTTTTCACTGACAAGGATCCTGTCCCAATTACTCCATATTATGCACAGTACAGCCTCAAAGTCAGCAGAAACATAAGAATGACACTGGAATTAGGAAACTTAGTATTCATCCCCACTTCAATGGTGAATCGCCAGCCCATGCCTCAGTCGCCTTCTCCAAAATAATGAGTTCTGTCTCTCAGAACTAGAACCAGGTGAAGTGGAAAAATGTGAGAGTGCACACAAAAGATAAAAGCCCACAAAATGTAAGATAAATGGTTGACAAACAAGTTTTCATTGGGGTTCTCTTGGACACAAAGCACACTCAGAACTGGGAAATACAGGAACAAAGTATAAAGGGCCCCCTAGTCTGTGTAGGACACCCCTAATGCCCAGAGTTATGCCTTCTTCTGGGCTTCCGTATCATTTTACCCTTCCCTCTACAACTACGCTTAGAACACTGGACAATAAAAATTTCTTCAGAAAGAGGTCTTAACCTGGCTTATATCCACAGAGTATCTTTAGATCCTCTGAAATTGTATGCAATATTACATGTGATGTGTACTTCTCTGGGGAGGGGGCCACAGATTCACATGAAGTCTGTTCTTTGGACAGAGGTATGCCCGTTTTATGATTGTTCACCAGTCCAGTGCCCCAAATACACATTTACATCAATGGTTACTGAATCATATTCTCAAAGAGAGTCCATTGTTTCTCCTCCCAATCTCTAAGAATTACTGGTTTAAACCTTGAGTTCCCTGAAAACCAGAGCTGATTTTATTTATTGGGCGGCAGCGATCAAGACTTGGTGCTCTGGTGCATCATATCTAGGTTGCCACACTCTACCTCTTCCTAGCTAAATTACTTTGGGTGAGCTAGTTCACCTCTCAGCACCTCACTTTCCCCATCTATGAAATGGGCATAGGGCTGTTACATGGAGTCAATTAAACAAAACATGGGCTGGGTAGTGCCTAACACACAAAGCTCAATCACTGGTAACTATATTATTACTTGTTTGGACATCTACTTCAAAGTTAAGGGTGCAAAAATGTTATTAATGACTCGAATGTAACCACCTTTGAGAAACTTTTCCGAAAAAGACAGGAGGAGAATGACCAGGTCAGGAAACCTTCCGCCTCTATTAATAGTTTCTCCCGATGAAAAGGTAAGATCTGCTCCAGAGGTCGTTGCAAGGATTGAACGAGACAACCAAGAAAATCGTTTAGGACTGTGCCTAACACCAAAAATGGTTGTGGGTAAGGTCATCATCAGCCCTGAGTTCAAGGCCCGGGCCAAGCCCTGGGGCTCCCGGTGGCGTCCAGAAAGATGCGCCAGAGGCCCAACCTGCAGCCCTGTAGACCTCTCTGGTGCCTGCAGAGTCCGCGACTCCTCCTCTAGCTCAAAACCTGTTTAAAATTGCCCCGGGCAACCACTTCTCAGAGCCCCCCTGCGCAGCGACCGCCACACCAGCCGGATGCTCCCCGCAGGCCCTCAAACCGCAGAACGACCCCCGGATATGCCGGCCCTTGTGTTCTGCGCGCTCTCCTCCTGTCCCTTCCTTTTCGTAGGATGAAGGTCCGATGCTTCCCACCCGGCAAGCCTTCCCGCTTGCACTCACCGGCCTTCAGCTCGGTGACATTCGCCATTTTTCAACGGCCGCCCGCGGCGCGCCTCGACCCTGCGCATGCTCAGCTCCGCGGCGTGGTCTGTAGCCAATAGGCGCACAGCTCTCGCCGCGCCCAGTCCCGCCCCTCTCCATTTCCGCTCTCCGCGGTTGTGTGGGCGGTGAACTCGCCAGAGATTCCACCGGTCAGCGAGCGCTCTGGGTCGGCCCTGCGGAGGGAGGCGGGAGGGGGAGCGGGGGCTTAGGCGGTTCCCAGCTTTTACCTGAGGGCGCTGCTGGCTCTTCAGCGCTTAACTTTAACCAGCTGAGCCTTGGCGTCATCTACCCGCTTGTCATCTCTGCAGCCTCAAGTACCGACTGGTAACAGTTATGCCACGTATTAAGGCTGTGGCTCTCAAACTTGAGCGTGCAACTGTACCAACTGGAGGACTTGTTAGAACAGATTGCGGGGTCCCACCTTTGGCGTCTGTGACTCAGTATATCTGGGGCGAGGCCTGAGAATTCGCTTTTCTGTCAAGTTCCCAGGTGGTACTGATGCTGCTGGTCTAGCGATCGTACCTGGAGAACCACTGTATTAAGCACTTACTATGAGACCGACACTGTGCCAAATCCTTTACACGCCTTAGCTCGTTGACCTCCCTATGACTATGTCCATTTTACAGAGGAGGAGATAGCCTTCGGTAGCTGAAGAGACTTAACCAAGATCCACCAGCAAATGGTGGAGATGGGATTTCAATCCAGGCCTCTTGCTCTTCAAAACCTGTTCTCTTCCACTGGTGCTTAAAGTGCAGCACACGTAAGGAATCCTAGGAGAGGAAGGAACATGGGAATAATGTACCCAAAACTGAGTGTAAGGTTGCATGATTCCAGTTGTTTCGCCAGGAATATCAAAAATCTTGGTTAAAGCCTGGGCGCAGTGGCTCACGCCTGTAATCCTAGCTCTCTGGGAGGCCGAGGCGGGCGGATTGTTTGAGCTCAGGAGTTCGAGACCAGCCTGAGCAAGAGCGAGACCCCGTCTCTACTAAAAAAAAAAATAGAAAGAAATTAATCGGACAACTAAAAACATATAGAAAAAATTAGCCGGGCATGGTGGCGCATGCCTGTAGTCCCAGCTACTGGGGAGGCTGAGGCAGGAGGATTGCTTGAGCCCAGGAGTTTGAGGTTGCTGTGAGCGAGGCTGACGCCACGGCACTCACTCTAGCCCGGGCAACAAAAGCGAGACTCTGTCTCAAAAAAAAAAAAAAAATCTTGGTTAAATAAGGCATCTTGGGCCTGGTGGTGGCTCACGCCTGTTATCCCAGCACTTTGGGAGCCCAAGGCAGGAGGATCCTCTGAGGCCAAGAGTTTGAGACCAGCCTGGGCAACAGAGCAAGATGCTATCCCTACCAAAAACAAAAAACAAACAAAAAAAAAACATCTTGACCTAGATTCTAGAACAGTGCTCTTTAAACTGCTGGTCAACTCAATAGTAGGTTTCAAAATCAATGAGCACATATTCAATGAAATGGAATGTTACTAATAGAAAAATTTGTTTTCCCAAACTTTTGTTTCGCATAGGACTGTCCAGAAAGTATCCACTCATGTAACCGTTCTTATATTAACAATGGCTGGATACTTTCCTGACAGCCCTCGTAGGTATGTTCCAGTATCTGATGTATTTCTTAAAGTGGGTAGCCATCAAAAAAGTTTGAAAGCCATTGTAATCTAGAAGATTCAATTCCTATTCCAAACTAGATAATTTTTGATCCCGTGGGATATGTCTGTTCTGTAACCTTAGAAAGGTCTTATCCAGTGTGACTTTCCTATTCTGTAAAACCACAGTGACTGAATTCCTGGCCTGCCTCTCAAGAATTTGTGGGGATTAACTAAATTCCAGGTGGAAGGTTTAAGCTCTTCAGAAAAAAAGCACTCCTGAATATATTGATGAGGAACTCAGAGAGGCAAACAATAATGTGATTGACTAATTACAAGCGGTAATTACACAATAACTAACATTCATTACTACTCTCTGTCTGGCAAGCGCTGCCCTAGAAACTTTACGTTAAGCATTTACCAACAACTCTATGAGGTAGATAGTCACACTATAATCATCTAAAGTAAAATTTCATTTAAAAGCATGTACTGAGGCCAGGCACGGTGGCTCACGCCTGTAATCCTAACACTCTGGGAGGCTGAGGCAGGAGGATTGCTTGAGCTCAGGAGTTCAAGACCAGCCTGAGCAAGAGCGAGACCCTGTCCCTACTAAAAATAGAATAATTATCTGGGCGTCATGGTGTGCGCCTGTAGTTCCAGCTACTTGGGAGGCTGAGGCAGGAGGATCACTTGAGCCCAGGAGTTTGAGGTGGTCGTGAGCTAGGCTGACGCCGTGGCACTCTACTGACGACAACAGAGTGAGACTCGGTCTCAAGAAAAAAGGTACTGAAATTGCGTAACACGCTGTGTTGCTGAGGATGTGGTGAAACAGGATGTGGTAGGTGGGCAAATTGGCACCACTGTCTAAAAAGTCTGTTTGGCAATATCTAATCAACCTTTCACACCCTTTGACCCATCAGTTGTAGTTCTAAGAATGTATCTTACAGATATATACTCACACCTAATTACAGAGGACATATGTTTAAGGATATTTATTCACTATTTATAGTAGAAAAAACTATGCATACCTATTAGAAAGGCTAAAATCAAAACAACTGACAATACTAAATGCTGTCAATATATTGCTGGTAGGAAAACAAAGTAGTATAGTCACTTTGGAAAGCAGTTTGGTAATTGCTAAGTCATACGTACGCTTACAAGATGAGCCAGTAATCCCAAGCTTAGGTGTTTACCCAAGAGAAATAAAAACTTATGTCCACATAAAAGCCAGTGGCAGATTTATTCATGATTGCCCCAAGCTGGAAACAACCCAGCATCTTACAACTGGTGAATGGATAAATAAACTGCAGTATATCCACACCACCAAGTAGCACTCAATAAAAAGAAACCAACGGCTGATACATGCCACAACATGCATGAGTCTCAAATGCATCGTGTTCAGTGAAAGAAACCAGGTTCAAAAAGCTACATCCAGTATGATCTACAGTATTTTAGAAAAGGCAAATTATAGGGACAAAAAACAGATCAGCGGTTGTCAAGGGTTTGGGATGAGAGAAGGGGACTGCCTACAGGATGCACTAGGGAAGTTTCTGGAGTAATGGGACTACTCTATACCTTGATTATAATTACATGATTGTATATGTTCACCAAAATTCATAGAGCTGTACACTTAAAAGGGTGACCATTACTCGATATATATCTCAATCAACTTGAATTAAAAAAATACTGGAAATATCAATATCATCAGTGGGAAGACGGGTTAAGTAAATTAGGGTACAGCCATAAATGAAAATGAAATACTGTGCAGTCATTCCAATCAATAGGGAGTTCTAAACATGTGTGTATGTAATTGTCATCAAGATGTATACAAAGAAAGTTTAAAAAGCACAGTCCAGTAGGAATTATGTAGTATGTCACCAACGGTTTAAAGAAAGGAGAAATACCAACTATTTGTTTGCTTAAACATGGGATACTTCTGAAAAGATATACAAAAATTGACCTTGGAATAAGACTGGGTGATTAAGCATCAGAGGTCAAGAGAAACTTTTGTCCATGGACTCATTTTGATTTAATTTTTTTTTTTTGAAACAGGGTCTTGCTTTGTCACCTGGGGCTATAGTGCAGTGGCATCATCATAGCTCACTGCAACCTCAAACTCCTGGGCTCAAGTGATCCTCCTGCCTCAGCCACCCAAGTAGCTGGGACTACAGATGTGCACCACCATGCCTGGCTAATTTTTCTATTTTTTTTTTTTAATAGAAGAGTTCTTTCTATATTGCTCAGGCTGGTTTCAAACTCCTGGCCTCAAGCCATCCTCCTGCCTTGGCCACCCAAAGTGCTAGGATTATAGGCATGAGCCATTGTGCCCGGCCTGATTTAAATTTTTAACTGTGCACATGCATTGCTGTGCACAACCAGCTGTGTGCAAGTGCAGCCTGATACCACCTCCTCTTGACTGCCTTGACTATCTCTTGCTTGTGTCCCTAGGGCCTCCCTGGTGCTGTATCCAATAGGCTGCCTGTAGGAGTCCTCATGGCCCTGCGGGCACCCACACAATTCTGGAAATGTGATGGACCCATGAGTGGTGGGAGGCAGTGGGTGATCCATGTGTCAGGTGGACATTTCTGAGGCATATTCTTCTTAACTCCCTACAGGGGCTCCAGGGGAACTGTGTGCCAGTTGCCCAGAGTGGTAACCAGCTCCGTCACTCACCATCACATTGGTTTTGCCTTTATGCCTATTGCGCTCGTCACAGTCCCCCCCGCCCAGGTTCCTGGAATTCTTCCCCAGACTGCTTGCTCCTAAGTCCTTGTCTCAGGTTCTACTTTTTAGATTAAACCAAACTAGGCCTAGCACTCTGGGAGGCTGAGGCAGGAGGATCACTCGAGGTCAGGAATTCGAGACCAGCCTGAGCAGGAGCGAGACCCCTGTCTCTTCTAAAAATAGAAAAATTAGCCAGGCATGGTGGTGCACACCTGTAGTCCCAGCTACTCAGGAGGCTGAGGCAGGAGGATCACTTGAGTCCACGAGTTTGAGGTTGCTGTGAGTTAGGCTGACACCACTGCACTCTAGCTGGGGTGACAGAGCAAGACTCTGGCCAAAAATAAAAAATAAAATAAAAGCTATAAACAAAAAAATTTATGGTGTGTCAGCTGTATGCCAGATCTGGGGGGTGGAGGAGGGAATGTTAAAATAAAAGTGAAGTCCTTGTGTGATTCCTCATTGCTGTAATTATGAGCTTCAGCTTTTTGATACAAGATCCTGGCCAATAATATCTTAGGTGGAAGAAATGAACTTCATGGAATTGGAACTCTTAGGATGATAGAATGGGAATTTTATTGTTGGCATCTCACATTTCGTTTCATTGCTATGCAACAGTGTAAGCCGATGCAGACATATGTAACGGTGTATACAGAGAACATCCCAACCAAGGGGGGAAAGACCACATACATACAGAGGGAGTTGAAATGTCTGTTCGAAT